CACACACACACCAACACACACGCACCAACACACACACCAACACACAAACACACAAACACACCAACACACACCAACACACACACACACCAACACACCAACACACACACACACCAACACACCAACACACACACCAACAAACCAACACACACACACACACACCAACACTCCAACACACACACACACACACTAACACACACACACACCAACACACAACAACACACCAACACACACACACCAACACACCAACACACACACACCAACACACACACACACACCAACACACACACACCAACACACACACACACACACACACACACGCGCGCGCCAGGAAGCGTGAGCATGAATTCGTACACGCAGGTATTTGCGCATGTACACACAAGTTTTGTGAGCGCACCTGTGTTACACAAGCAGATGGATGTATGCTCGTATACCTTCATCGCAACACCCTGACAAACCTGATGGTTCCTACGGAGAGGATGGGGAGCCAAGACCGAGGAAGAGAAGACGGGAGAGAGGGAGAGGTGCCGAAGGAGGAGCAGGAGCAGGAAGAGCAGGAGGAGCAGGAACACCAGGAGCACGGGAAGCACACACAGGGCCAGCGGCAGCCCAGGCCCGGGGCAAAAGCACGGGGCGTGCAGAGGCGCCGGTGCTCGGCGCCGGCCGCGCGGCGCTCCCACGCGGGCCGAGCACCTCTTCCGCGCAGGGCGCTGCGGCCCGGCCTCGGGCCTCCCGACCCCCACGGATAAGCTCAGCGCAGAAAGACGGGCGCCGGGGCTCTCAAGCGGCGATTTGTTGCGATGGAGCGCGTTTTCGCAACGTCAGATCCGAGGAGAGGAGGTGGTGGCAAGATGTAGCGCCGCGCCGCGCCAGATCGAGCCCCCCAGGGACGCCCCCGGAGGGCCCCGGAGGCCTCCCGAGGCCTCCAGAGGCCCAAAGTGGGCAAGGGATTCCCAGAAGCACGCGGAACATCCAAAAAGGAATCCCCCCTCGGCCTTGGATGGTCGATGGCGGAAGTGAGAGGCTGGACGATGAGGAGGAGAAGGGGGAGGACGACGACGACGACGACGACGACGGCGACGACGACGACGACGAAGACGACGACGACGACGACGACGACGACGACGACGACGACGAAGACGACGACGACGACGGCGACGACGACGACGACGGCGACGGCGACGACGGCGACGACAAAATGTGCTGTCTTTTCGGGCGGGCCCCGAGGTCGGAGCCGACATCCCGGTGCCGGAGGGCAGGGCCTCCCTGGTGCTGGAGGCCAGCGGGTGGCCCACCACGTCGGGGCCGAGGGAGGGACCTTGGAGGAGGAGGAGGAGGAGGAGGAGGAGGAGGAGGAGGAGGAGGAGGAGGGAGGAGGAGGAGGGAAGGGAGTGAGGGAGGAGGACAGGAGGAGGAGGAGGAGGAGGGAGGTAGGGAAGAGGAGGAGGAGGAAGGAGGAGTGAGAGGAGGGAGGAGGAGGGAGGGGAGGAGAGGAGGAGAGAAGGAGGAGGAGGAGGAGGAGGCGGAGGAGGAGAGAGGGAGGAGGAGGAGGAGGGAGGAGGAGAGGGGGAGGGCGGAGGAGGAGGAGGAGGAGGAGGAGAGGGAGGAGGCGGGAGGAGGAGGAGGAGGAGGAGGAGGAGGAGGAGAAGGAGGAGGAGAGAGGAGGAGGAGGAGGAGGAGGAGCGGAGTAGGAGGAGGGAGGAGGAGGAGGAGGAGGAGGAGGAGGATGAGGAGAAGGAGGAGGAGGAGGCGGAGGAGGCGGAGGAGGAGGAGGAGGAGGAGGAGGAGCGGTTGGAGGGCCAAGTCGACCTGCTGCGAGACGACCAACATCTGGGGCCCTATTCCAAATATCGTTTTCACGTTCAAGTCACAAGCGCCATCGGACACATTGGGTGCGGTTGCGTATATAAACTTCGACGCATTCGGGGTGGATGCGTCTATAGGCAATTCGGCCGTTGCGTTCGGCGCGGTACAAGGGTAGATCCATCTACGGCATGCTCCTGTACGAAGAGGGGCCGCACACCAGCTACACGTCTTCAGCGTAGCCCGTCGCCAGAGCGACCTCGATGTTCGAAGCAAAAGAGGCTGCATGAGCGTGAACTGTCGGAGCTCCGCGCGGATTTCTTGGATCGGCGCTGGAGCCTCCGGGCGGCGCCTCTGGTGCCGCCCCTGGCGTGCTCTCCGCGCCAGGGAGGGGGTCCAGCGCCAATCCAAGACATCCGCCCTGAGCTCCGAAAGCTTGCGCGTATGACTCAGGAGGAAACGAAGCCAGACACGAATACACGTCGATGTCCATAAGACTGTAGGAAGACGTCGGGAGTGGAGGGGAAGACGGAACTCCAGAAAGTATGGGCACATCTAGGGAATCACGGTATGTGTGTCTGTATAGTGTGTGTCGTTGGGCCCCTTCGACGACGTTCTTCTTTCTTCCGAGAGTGCCCTTTGGTGCGGGGCCCACTGGGGCTGGGACCCCCGACAGCGGAACACGAGGCGACGGGGGCGGCCTGCGCGCCCAGGCCTGGCCTCCCGCGCCCCCCCTGAGGCCGCGCACCAGAGGCCACCCTTGGCCGGGATCGCTCCTGCACGTACTTTGTGGGCCCTGGAAACGGCAGGGCCGTTTTTCCACCGTTTCCAAAAAAATGCCCCTTGAAAATGGAAACGGTAAAAAAACGGCGACCGGAAACGGCAAAAAAACGGCTCCAGGATTGGAACCGGAGCCGGAACCGGTCAAAAAACGGCGACGGAACCAGTAAAAAAACGGCGTCGGAACCAGCAACAAAAACGGCAAAACGGAACCGGTTAAAAAACGGCCCTGTCGTTTCCAGGGCCCACTAAGCTCATACACGTAGCCAGACGCAGTGGAAAAACGCGGGCGAGCGGCAACGCGGGGACACCTAAACCTTGGGGGGATCGAATGGCAAGACGTGAAAGCGGCTCCTCCAGGAGCCCAAAACCTCCTCCTCCTCCTTCCTCCCCCTCCTCCTCCTCCTCTCCTCCCGTCCTCCTCCTCCTCCTCCTCCTCCTCCTCTCCGCCTCCTCCTCCTCCTCCTCCTCCTCCTCCTCCTCCTCCTCCTCCTCCTCCTCCGCTCCGAGGCGGCCAAGACTCGTGCCGCTGCAGGAAGTGCGCCGTAAACGCAGAAAAGGCCTGGGGAGGGACTGGCGCTCGCTTGCAGGGCCGGTCGTCGCCGTCCGTGCGTCCACTGCGCGTCTGCAGCAGAACTCGTGGCACTGGAACTAGGCCTCCATGTCGTGACCAAGATTTGCACGCAAGATGGCGGGTAGCTCGCAGCAGTGTGGGCCGCACGCCGGCAGAACGTATGGCAATGCCCGCTCACCCCCTTGAGCCCGAGCCCGAGCGCCAGCCCGAGCCCGAGCCCAAGCTCGACCCTGAGATCCGACGTAGCGAAACAGCTGCAACATCGTAAAAAATCACGCCCAGAGCCCTAGACCCCCTCTTCCTGCGTCATCTGTCGAGCCCGATCGATCCGTGAGGGCCCCGGGCCCCGAAGCATAGCGAAGAAACGACAGGCCCGAAACGATTGAGACGCCCGGATCTCGCAGGCGCCCGAGCCCGAGCCCGAGCCCGAGCGCGAGCCCGGACGAGCAGCTCAACGCCCACCCCGCGCGCCCTGCCTTGGGAGGCCGTGCGTGCCCACCTGCACCGCGAGAGGCTGCTGATCTACAGGGCGCCGTTCGCCCCCGGGGCGCAGGCGGCGGCGCTGTCCTGACTCCTCCTCCTCCTCCTCCTCCTCCTCCTCCACCTCCCTCCTCCTCCTCCTCCTCTTCTCCTCCTCTTCCTACCTCCTCCCTCCTCCTCCTCCCTTCCTCCCTACTTTTCCCTCCCCTCCTCCCTCATCCCTCATCCCACATGCCTCATCCCTCCTCCTCCCTCCTCCTCCCTCCTCCCTCCCTCCCTCTCCCTCCGACCTCTGCCCCCAACATCCTCCTACCCTCCTCTCCTCCTCCTCCTCCTCCTCCTCATCATCCTCACTCATCCTCCTCCTCCTCTCCTCCTCCTCCTCCTCCTCCTCCTCCTCCTGCTCCTCCTCCTCCTCCTCCTCCTCCTCCTCCTCCTCCTCCTCCTCTTCGTGGGGGCGAGACGGAAAAAGGAGGCTGTCTGCGCCGACATTGGCGCGTGAGCTGCCCGCGCAAGGCCGCGCGTAAGCGCCCTCGTCTCCAATGTGGCATGCCGCGCCGGCAGCCCGCGTAAGCCGCTGCGCAAGGTCGCTGTGCCATCTCGCGAAAGACCCGTTTTGGATTGTCGCTCGTGCGGTTGCTTGGCATCGCTCGGACGTGTGCGTTTTTTTCTTCGGCGAGGACCATCGAGGAGCATCCTTGATTATTTGGCGAAAAAACCACGCACGAAGCCGAAAAAAACACAGGGAATGGACGTCCGAGCGATGGCCAGGAAGGGACCCCAGGGCAGGGGACTCTTGAGACGGGCGCTGCCGATGTCTCGAGTCCGCTCGGCTTCGCCCACAGGGACGTCGCGGGGCGTTTTTTTTCTTCAACCGCTCTCGCGGAGTCTCGGAGGCAACGCTGCGGTCTCGGAAGTCCCACTCGCCGGCGTCCCTTCAGGAAGCGCGTCACTGGCATGCTCGCACTGAGTGTGGAAAAATGAGGTTTGAATATTCTTGGCGTCGCTCGGACGTGTACATTTCTTTCGGGGAGGACCATCGAGGAGCATCCTTGATCATTTGGCGAAAAAAGAACCACGCACGAAACCTACAAAAAAACACAGGGAATGGACGTCCGAGCGATGGCCGGTTGTGGAAAAATGAGGTTTGCATATCTGTTGGGGGAAAAAGCATCAGAAAACCAGCTCCAGATAGTTCTGCCGCTCTGGTCGCCCTGTGGGGGGGGCCCTCGCCGGACCGGGCCCGGGGACCATCCAAAAATGCCCCGGGATTGCCCCAGATGTGTTTGTTTGTTTGTTGTTGCTCTCTCGCTCGCTCTCTCTCTCTCTCTCTCTCTCTTTCTCTCTGCTCCAGACTTGTTTTCCGCCGATGGTACAAAGGATACGTAGAATGTTCCCAAATCTACGAACAGAAAACGTCTGCTTTTGCATATTCGACTGGAAGAAAAAGTTCTGGGATCAATGAATTCTAGTCGCCTCGCGTGGCCCAATCAGCCTTTCGCACACCGCCCGACCTTTCTTCGCCGCGGTCGCGATCAAAAAAATAGCCCCACCAGCCAATCCAGAAACGATGCCCAGGCGAGCTGCCCTGCACAGGAACGTGCAGGAGCATGCAGTGGAATCAAGGGCTGCTGGGCAAGACGCCGCACCCCAAGATGGGACAGGACAGCGGTGGCTGAGCGCGCGTCGGACCCCCCGACCGCGAAGACGAAGAGGTCCACGGCTTTCACGAGGCCGAGCACCATCATCATGCCGACCTCCACCACGACGCACTCGCCGCTGCCGGCGTGCACCCCGCCGAGCCCAGCACCCAACACGGCTCGCCTGTCGCGTGCCAGCGCCGCGGCCCGCGCTGGAGCCGCCGTGCGCGGGACCGCACCTCCTCGAAGTTGCAGGCCGTTGCGATCAGCTCCTCGCGGCCGAAGGGGATATGCTCTGGCACCCTGGACAGCCTCGCGCGCTTCGCCAGGCGGTCGACGAGCTGCCGAAGCTGCCAGCTCTCCGCTTCAGCGTGCCTGCCCTTGGTACTCGTCAACATTGCCCGTGCTCTTGCCCTTGCCCTCGCGCGAAGCTGTGCTGGAAGGCGGGCGGCTCCGCTGCTGCACCAGCGGCAGCTCGTCAGCCCGGCCGCCGTCCTCCAGCATCGGCGTGGCAGGCGCAGCGGCCCTCGGAGCTGCAGTCCCAGCCGCCCCACGAGCGACGCCCATCCTTCCAGGTGCGACATCCTGCTTGCCATCCACCCCCATGCACAGCATGAGGCCGACGCCGCCGCCGAGTGGCAGCCGCGGGCTCCGCCGAGGGCGCCGCGGCGGGCGCGGGAGGGACGGGCCTGGCCGGCACGGCCGCCGCCGTCGAGGAGCAGACGATCAGCAGCACGAACGAGCCGAGCCACATCTCGAGGCGCAGCGCTGCTGGGCAGCCCAGCGGCGGCGTGCGCCGCCAGGACCGCGCCGCGCACGGCCTCCAGCGGCGCAGCAGCGCCGGCATCCGCGGACGCACTCGGCATCAGGACGCTCGGCGGCGGGGCTTGCAGCACGACGAATTTGAGCCAGAACGGTTCTGAGCAATCGGAGGAGGGGGAGCAGGAGCAGGAGCAGGAGCAGGAGCAGGAGCAGGAGGAGGAGTAGGAGGAGGAGGAGGAGGAGGAGGAGGAGGAGGAGGAGGAGGAGAGTGAGGAGGAGGAGGAGGAGGAGGCCAGGGGGAGGGGAGGGGGAGGAGGGAGGATGAATGAGGACGAACAGGCGGATGAGGAGGAGGGAGAGGAGGAGGAGGGGAGGGGAGGGAGGAGGAGGAGGAGGAGGAGGGGAGGAGGAGGAGGAGGAGGAGGGAGGAGGAGGGAGGAGGCAGGAGGAGGAGGAAGGAGGGAGGAGGAAGGAGGAAAAGGAGGACGAAGGAGGAAGGAAGGAGGAAGAGGACGAGGAGGACGAGGAGGAGGAGGAGGAGGAGGAGGATAGTAGGAGGAGGAGGAGGAGGAGGAGGAGGAGGAGGAGGAGGAGGAAGAAGAGGAGGAGGAGGAGGAGGAGGAGGAGGGAGGAGGAGGAGGAGGAGGAGGAGAAGGAGGAGGGCGAGCAGAAATGCAGAGGCCTCTTGGATGCCTCTCGGAGTCTCTTCGGATTCTGTCGAGAGCTTTTTGGAGTCTTATCGGGGCGTATTGGGGGTCTCTTTGCAGTCTGAGGCGAGTTGGGTGCCTGTGGGGAGCATCTTGGGGGGATCTTTGGAGCCTTTTGGAGGCATCCTGGGGGCCTCTTGGGGGCCGCTTGGCGCCTCCTTCCTGGGCACCTCTTGGGGCCGTCTTGGGGCACGCTTGGGAGCCTCAGGGCCATCTTGGAAGAGATCGATCAAAGGATGGGGGGCTCCTTAATGAGGGCTCCGCCCCAGGAGGCCAGAAGGTCGCCAAAACCTTATCAATAGATTCAATGATGCGGACCTTCTCGCCGAGGCCTCTTGGGGCGTCTTGGGTGCCTCGTGGGGGCCTCTTGGCGCCTCTTTGGGAGCCTCTTGGGGGCCTATCGGGGGCCTCTTGGGTCCTCCTGGGCACCTCTTGGGGCCCTCTTGGGGCACCCTTGGGGGCCTCGGGGGCCATCTTGGAGGAGATCCATCAAAGGACGCGGGCCGTGCTCGCGTAGCCACCACCACCCCTCCCCAGGATGCCAAAATGTGGCCAAAACCTTTGCAAATTCCATAATTTCAGCCTTCTCGCAAAGGCCATCCTGGACGCTCCAACTACCCGCGAACCCCCCCGTCCAAAAGGAGGGGGAGGTGGATGGATTAAGACACCCCTCCCCCGCCCGCAGGCTGTCTCGCTCACTCCCACGGGTGGCCATGGCGCCGCAGCCTCACAAGCCACACGGCCACACCCCCAGGTGGGCGACGCAGAAGAACGGGGCCGTCTTCACCGACACTGGCGCGCACGCTTCCCGCGCAAAGGCCGCGCGTGGGCGCCCTCTTCTCCGCGCGGTGTGCCACGCTGGCGGCCCGCGTGAGCCACCGCGCCACGTCGCCGTGCCCTCCCGCGCAGGACCCGTGCCTGCTCGTCGCTCCGGTGGGGGCCGGCCCCGCGACGCCCGGAGGAAGCAGCACGCAGCCCAGCCCAGGAGGGTGAGGAGGAGGAGGAGGAGGAGGAGGAGGAGGAGGAGGAGGATAGTAGGAGGAGGAGGAGGAGGAGGAGGAGGAGGAGGAGGAGGAGGAGGAGGAGGAGGAGGAGTATAGAAGGAGGAGGAGGATAGTAGGAGGAGGAGGAGGAGGAGGAGGAGGCGAGCCAGCGGGCATGCTCGGTCCCTGCGGGCTGGCTTCTAGCCGCGGGTCGTCTCGCTCTCCTGGCCCCGGGCCCGAGCGCGACCGCGCACCGCGCGGGAGGCCCCGGGGTGATGCAGGGCGCGCCCGCCGTGTCAGGCCAGGGGGGGGGGCGGCCCTCTACGGTGAAGACCGGTGCAGGGCACACCTGGGGCGCAGGAGGCGCTGTGGCGTCCGGGCTGCTCCCGAGGCTTACGGCCGGGCCGAGGCACACGAGTTCGAGGCCAGTTCGGGGAGGGTGCGCCAGTGCTCTTCCTGCTCGTTGGGTGTGCTGGTGCATCCTGGGGAGGGTGCCCTCGGATGTTCTGCTCGTCCTGGCCGACGGAGTGCCTCGTGCTCTTGAGGGAGACGCTCCTGGCCCAGGTCCGACTGCAATCCTCCCGCCGCGCCCTTTCTTTTCTTCCCGTTGTGCCCACTTCGGCTCCGATGCACCCCTCGGCTGTCTCCCCCGACCCCCGACGCCGTGATTTCGTTCACAATGTTAACCCCCAGAGGTCTGGGCCCCTTCCCCGGGACCGGTCTTTCATCCTGAGTCCTTTTCTGACGGTCCCGAGGCCTGGAAGGGCCCCCAGAGGCCGAAAATAATGGAGGATGACGATTAATAAATGACCGGGGGTCGTGTTCACGCGGCGGCGCCCGGGATGACGATTAGAAAAAACCGGCCGCGGGCTGGAAAACTATTCTTTTTCATCGTTCTCCTCCAGTCAGAAAAAATTATGCAGAAACAGCGAGAAGCTATTTTTTTCATCGTTCCCCTCCATCTTTTATTGAATCGTCATCCCGCCGCATTACTGAAAGGACCTCCCGCCGTGATTTTTTGTCACAGCGCGAGGGGGTCTGGGCCTACCGCTTCCTGGACCCAGGGATTCGGGGGTGGACAGAACCCCCAATAGTGACACGTCGATTAGTGAATTGTCCGTTTTCGGTTCTCGAGAGGGCGCCGTGGCCGTTATTTTCCAGGCTTGCGCCCGCCAGGTTTGGGCCTCAGGTCGTTTCCACTAAACCACGTTTTATTAAAGGGGGGTCTGTCCATCCCCGAGGGATGCTCTGATGGCCCAGGGTCCGGCCGCAGGCCGCGGAGAGCCCGCTCGTGGCCGGGGACCCGCCGGGGGCCAGGAGAGCGGCAGCGAGCCCGGAAGGGGGGGAGGGCGAGGAGGGGCTGGCCTTCGCAGAGCGCATGCGGCCCTCACCGCAGGACGAAGGGAGGGGGGGGGGGAGGAGTAGAGGGAGGAGGAGGTAGGAGGAGGAGGAGGAGAGGAGGAGGAGGAGGAGGGAAGAGGAGGGAGGAGGAGGAGGAGGAGAGGAGGAGGAGGAGGAGGAGGAGGAGGAGGAGGAGGAGGAGGAGGAGGAGGAGGAGGAGGAGGAGGAGGAGGAGGGGGGAGGAGAGCCAGAGAGTGTTGTTGTGTTCTCTGGCGCGCAACAGTTGCTGCCCAGGCCACCACCACCCCCACGTAGCAATGACGTCGTACGTTTTGGGGGGGGGGGCCTGCTGGTGCTCGCATGCGCCCTGCCAGTGCTCGCAGGCTTTACGCAGGTGCCACCCCCCTGAGCGTAGCTGTTGCCCAGTGCCCCAGCCTTGGGGGCCCCCCCCCCCCTGATAGCGACCGCTCCGCGGAAGTCTTAGGAGTACAAAAGATCCCACCAACCGGCGGCGTTCTCGGAAGGCGGTGGGGCTTCTCAGAAGCCCTCCCGCCTCCTGAGCAGTTCCCTGCCTCTTCGCGGACGGCGCAGAGAACCTGCCCCGGAGGGCGCGGGCCCTCCGAGCCTTCTCGGGAGGCCCGCCCCCGCGGACTTCCCCCCTGGGCTCGCCGCCGGAGCCGAGCTGCTGCGCCGCCAAACGCCTCGAAGAGCGCCGCCCGCACGTGCAGCCCGCCGCCCCCAGGTCGAGGCCGGCATCCTGCGGGTCTGCGCCTTCGTGGACCGCTCCGTGCCGGCGGCGGAGGCGCCCCGCGCCGTGAGCGGCCCGGCCGCCGCTGCGGCACGCGGGTCCTGAGTCGGGGGCGGAAAAGAGGGGGGTGATGACTAGAGGGGGGGGGATATCATGGCGTGGGCCATGATATTTCCCCAGATCTCATGGCGCCCCTTCTTATTTCAAGTACGTCCCTGGCCCCCCCGCTGGGCCGCGCACATGCCGCCGGTCATGATTTGCACCCCCCCCCCTCTTGGACACCCCCCTCTTGGCCGCTCCCGAGTCCTGAGGGAGCGGCTCCTGATGTTGGAGGTCTTCGGGCGTTCTCGCGGGCTCTCGGCGGCTTTTTCCAGCCTCGGGGTGCCTTCCAGCGGCTGCGCCTCGCCGGCAGCGTGCCAGGGGGATGCCCAGCTCGTGCCGGACGGCCGCGGGAGGGCCGAGGGATGGCCCGAACACGTAGCGTCGGATGGTTCTTGGCCGTTTTGGGCCCTCCACGGGCCCCACGGCGGACAAAAGTCAGGAGGGAAAAAACACACAGACACAATGAATCCTCGATTCCCCCGAAAATGTGGGAAAATATTGGCATTGGGGGGGAAGACAAAACCCCAGAAAATATAGGAAAGCATGGGGGATATGTTTGTTTGTGTGCATCTACTTGTGTGTCCCGGGGCCCCTTCGAAAAGGCGGCTCGGGATCAAGAGCTGGTCCTGGGGAACGGGTCGGGACTTTGGGGGGCCCCGCAGTGGGAAAGTCAAGGCATCGCACGTCTAGGATCGGGGGAGCGTAAGACCCGGGTTTGCCAGGACTAGGGTTCGCCATCGTTTTTTGACGACCGCGACTCGGATTTTGGCGAGGAGGAGTTTTGTGGGATGTCTGCAGCGGGAGGCCTCGTCAAAATGCAGGCTCGGCCTCGTCATTTTTTTGACGACCTCGTCGGAGATTTCCGAGTCCCCCGTACACGGGTCTTACGTCTCCCCGATAGGAGCGGACGCTGGGCGGGGCACGGGCCCCGACGCTGTTTCGCCGTTGTGGGGCTCCTTGGGCCCTCCGTGGGCCCTCCTTGGGCCCGAGGGCCGTCGGGAAGCGATTCGGGATGAAGGGGGAGGAGGAGGAGGAGGAGGAGGAGGAGGAGGAGGAGAAAGAGGACGAGGAGGAGGAGGAGGAGGAGGAGGAGGAGGAGGAGGAGATGGAGAAGGAGGAGGAAGAGGACGAGGAGGAGGAGGAGGAGGAGGAGGAGGAAGAGGACGAGGAGGACGAGGAGGGAGGAGGGGAGGAGGAGGAGGGGTAGGAGGAGGAGGAGGAGGAGGAGGAGGAGGAGGAGGAGGAGGAGGAGGAGGAGGGAGTGGTCCTGGGGGGGGGGCCAGGGTCCAGGGAGAGCCAGCCGTTGCAGTTGCCCGTCGCGGAAGTCCTTCTCCGGCGCATCCGGCCGATGGCCTCCACGGCCTTCTCGCCGACGGGGCCGGCGTCGCCTCTGTAGGAGTCGGTCACCGTCTCTGTCTCGGGCGGCCAGTGCTCTTCAGTCCAGTCGTCCGCCTTATCCTCTGTCTCAGTCTTCGGTGCCCAGCCTGGCAGCAGCCTGTCCTGTCCAGACCCAAGGTGCGACCGCCGCCGCCAGAGTACCTCTTCAGCGTGGGTGGGCGGGACATGCTCATGGTGGGTGGGATATGAAAGTGTGTCATCTCTCGACGTGGAAACATGCACCACCCCCGCGTCGCCGCAATTACAATTACGTTCTGTGCTCCCGTGCAGGTGGTATACAAGTATACAGGTTTCGCACCCTCATCTGTGGCATTCCTCGGAGGCGCATCCATCACTTGGTCTCGATTGGGTGTGTCCAGCTTCAGGCAGACGTACTTTCCTTTCGAAATGTCCGTGCGTTTCCATTGCAGATCGGGTCGTGTCACTCTGGGCACGAGCTGCTTGCGGCTTGATTCTTGACACGACGGCGACCACGCGATAACGTGTTCTTCCTGATGGCACTGCGTACCATAAGACCAGCCGCCGCCAGGGTGCCCGCGATTTCTATAATTGTAAAATTCGCATCGTCCACAACAAGAGCTCATGGCTGAGCTGAAGTGGTCACCAATATTAGGTTGATCTGGCGACAGTCATCGAGATGAGCCTACGATTAAATTCAAGTGGTACATCAATGGCCGAGCCGCCAAACGGCCCGCATTTGTCCTCCCATTCGACTGTCCTCATAGCTGGCTATTGTTGCTGATGGATGGCAACCGTTCCGGGTGGGCGACGACCTCAATTGAGGAACGAATTCGGTAGCCCGGGTGCAGCAGACGAGGTGATTTCTGCTGGCAGGCGCTACGCGATGGTAAGCACAGGTCCGTCATTGATCAAGTCAGAGCAAATCGGATTTCGGAAGGATGATGATCAGAAGAGGGCGTGGACGCGCAATCGACGACAGCAGATTCGTAGGTCCACGCTCACGGTGTATCATATTCCACAGAGGACGAAAGAGATCCTTAGTCTTCCGGCCTCGCTGATCTATGTTCGGACACGCGCCCTGTCCCCAGATGTGGATTCACACGCGGCCAACTATTCGGAACACTTGAACATAGCTCGAATTTGTGTGTAGCGTTGCATTGGGAGGGCATTGCAACTTTCTATGTATGCACTTGAAAACCCCACCCGACTTGACCTGCCTGGGGACACGTGAGAGTAACCCTTCGCCAGAATGACATTTGATGGTGGCCCAAATTGGACCGGGAGATGTTTTCGTTCGAAGTGCATTCGGCCTCGCGTCGGCTCACTCGGCGTGACGTTGCGCGCGCATCTGAGCGCACTTGTTGCCTCGCGGGCGCCCGGATTTCGGCCGTGATTCCCGACTTTTTCAAGCGTCATCGAGATGCGGCTTGGCACGGCCAGACCTCATCGCGATGGCGCCCTGCAGCGTCTGCTTCCGCAACGTCTTCCGGGTGTCTTTCGGGGCGCCCGAATCGAACAGGCGGAAATCTGCAGATGCCCGCTGATATTTCAAGGCGCATCCCACCGACCCGCGATGCGATGGTGCCCACCACACATCGAGGCATTTCAGGAAGCTTCTTTGTTGACGAAGGGTGCGCACTCCGATTCGTCATCTGGATCGCACACAGGGGTGCGAAGATAGCCCATCTTCGCGCGCTGCATCCTGGGCTGCGGAGCTGCCCTTCTCCAGGGGGGCGGGGTGAGGACGTGCAGATGACCGCGCACTGCGCGCCGCGGAGCGCGATGTCTGGCGGTTCAGCTCAGAACCGCAGATGAGGCGTTCCAGAAACGGCTTCGCCTTCGAAGCATCGAAGGAGATGGCATCTCCCTCTCTCGGCGGAAGGCGGCGGAAGGTCGGCGGAAGCCGGCGGAAGCAGAACGGGGGCAGCTCCGCCAGTGGAAGCCTGCGGAAGGAAAAAGACTGCGCCTCAGAGAGACTGCGGCACTCTTGGGCTCCAGGTTCCCAGAGCCCGCCACATGGGCGCCAGTGGAAACGTCGCCCGTCCTCCATCACTTTTCGGGGTGCTCGAGCTGGCGCTGTTGGGGAGCGGCGCGCTGGTCTGGGCCAGTTTTGGAGCCCCAGGGGGCCCCGAAATCCTCGTGCTCCCCACTTTCGCCGCCGTCGTCCGTCAGTGTCGTCGTTGTCCCTCGTCGTCGTCGTCGAGCATCGTCGCCGTCGTCGTCGTCCGCGCCGCCGTCCTTTGTGGTCGTCGTCGTCGCTGTCGTCATCGCCTCCGCCGCTCCCGTCGTCCGCCGCCGCCGTCGTCGCCGTGCCCGCCGTCGCCGTCGCCGCCGCCGTCGATGTCGTCGCCGCCGTCTTCGCCGCCGTCGTCGTCGTCGTTCGCCGCCGCCGCCGTCGTCGTCGTCGTCGCCCGTCGTCGCCGTCACCGCCGACGCCGGGTGTCGCGGTGGAGTCTTCCGTCGTCGCCTCGGGCGCGCGAGGCGCGGCGGGTGCGCTCAGACATCTTCGTCGCGGCGGCGCTGGCCGCCGCGCAGGAGGACCCCGAGATGGTCGATGCGGCGCTGAGGCGAGCGGGCCCTGGGAGCCACGCGGGATGCGGGGCGGCAACACCGGAAGGGAGGGCAGAGGCAGCCTGCGATGTGCAGTGGAGCCCCCCGCCCCCTCCCCAGCGGGGCGCGAGATTCTTTTTTGAAATCACGCGCGCCGAGGGCTCGTCGCGGGCGGCGCCGAGGGGATCGTGCACCCCCGCTTCACGGCAGCCTCAAAACGATTGCTTGTCGGCATGGTAGCTGGAATATGCATCGTCTACATCCGAGGCGCAGTTGTTCGCATCATCAGGCGAATTGCTGGCGTGCCACAGCCGTCGTCGTCGTCGTCGTTGATCACACCACCCCACACTCATCCACACCACATGGGGCATCCACAGTGCGTCGTCGTCCGTCGTCGCCGTCGTTTTCGATTATCTCTGCCCCCCAAAATGGGGCATCCACAGTATACGTTGCCGTCGTCGTTCGCTGTCGTCCACGGCGGCCCTGCGCCACCCCCCCCCCGCCCCGCACGCGGAGCATCCGCAGCGCGCGCGTGCGCGTCCGGTCGTCCTGTCGTGGGCCTTGTCGCCGTCGTCGTCGTCGTCGCCGTCGTCGTCGTCGTCGTCGTCGTCGACGTCGTCGTCGTCGCCGTCGTCGATTACAGCGTGTCCACGCAGCACCCCAGCCATGGGGCAGATGCTGTAGTGGAGGAGCAAAGGGGGCGGCGGTGGAGAAGGAGGAGGAGGAGGAGGAAGAGGAGGAGGAGCCACTGCCGCCTGCCTCTGCCGCTCCTCCCCCCCTCTTCCCTCTCCTGTCTGCATCCATGTCGGCACCGCCCGCCAGCTGTGAGGCGCCTCTTCCTCCCTCTCCGCTTCCCGTCTGCAGCCATGTTGGCCCAAGCGCCCCGCTGTGTCAGAGGCGTTGCTCCCCCCCCCGGTGAAGCGGCGCCGCTCGCGTCGCGCATGTCGCCCTTCAGCTAGCGGCCGGGTGTCGGCGCCAATCACGGGCGCCGCCGTGGCGTGTTTCCATCTGGCGGGCGTCCCCCCGCGATTCACCCGAGCACGGAAACCATCATGTGATCACGTGCCTGACATCAGGGAGTAGGGAAGAGGGGGAGGGAGAAAAGAGTCAAGGAGTCGCAAACATCGATTAGAGTGCGTGGGTTGGGGACGGCAGGGGTCGGTCGGACATGGCATGAGCGCAGCCGCTGTATTTTCGGAAGGTAGGGGGAGGAAAGAGTCAAGGAAGCGCAAACATGGATCAGGGCGCACGGGTTAGCGACGGGCCCCGCTTCCGTACAGGATCGACGCGTTCCGTCTCCAAATCAGCCGGCATTTGTCTCACGTTTCGGGGGCTACGTTCCCCGATCCGCTGATCTGGCGCCCACGCGCCAGATCCATGGATCTCTGATCCATGTTAGCGCGCGCCTGAAGGAGGAACAGAAAGGGGTGAGGGGGAGATGCAGGGGGAGGGAGGAGGGAAAGGGAGAAAATGGAGGATGGGGGACGGGAGGGAAGGAGGGAGGAGCTTGTGAGGAGGAAGCCCCTTCTGGCAGCGGAGCTGCGCATGGGCAGCCAAGCATACTAGTCGGTCGGCGCTGAATGAGGAATTCGACACGCAATCACCCTTCTCATGTTCCTTCCTCTTAGAATTAAGTCGGGTGTGCCCCTCCACATGAGGAGTATTCAAAAATAGTCCAATTGTTCGGGAACGATTGTTTGACTATGTTTGAATATGTTGTGACTCCTTTTTGTTGAAAGTTCCCTTTCAATCCGCCTGTAGGGGGACATTCCCGACCTAGTCTTAGAACCCCACAGGCCCTGGCCCCCCCCCACAGGCCCTGGCCCTCTCCCGGATTCCTCCAGTCTCCTGATTTTGTTACAAGTCGCCGTCGTCGTCGCAACGCCAGGCGTGTCGGCATGGCGGCCGTGCCGTTTCGCCGAAGCCATTTCTGAGCATAGGCTTGCCATGCGCGATAGTTGCACGGGACAAAAGCGGCCGACTCAAGCCATGGGGTTATAGCCTTAGCGCCGCACGCGTGCTTGTTTTTGCACCCAACAAACACACGGATGTGTAGCACACTCTTTTGTTAAAACGCGGTTGTCGTTTGAAGTTTGGTATCTGTCCAGATACGTCTTTGAAGCTTCCGACCAAGATCGTAAAGTTGCGCGACAGCTGTTTACATGGAAGGGGACGGTCTCTTGTTCACACGGGGGTCTCGATGGACACGTCCTCATTCCTTGGCCCCAACGTTGTAAGTACAAGCGCGGCTCATGGTTCAAATCGGGAAAATAGGAGGAGGAGGAGGAGGAGGAGGAGGAACAGGAAGAACAGGGGGAGGTAGAACGCTACAGCTCCGTTGCTAAAGCCTGCCCAACGTTACAAAAATAACAGGAGGAACACGAGGAGGAGAGGAGGAGGAGGAGGAGGAGGAGGAGGAGGAGGAGGAGGCGGGGGAGGAGGGGGAGGAGGAGGAGGGGGAGGAGGGGGAGAGGAGGAGGAGAGGAGGAGGAGATTTGGAGGAGGAGGAGGAGGAGGAGGAGGAGGAGGAGGAGGAGGAGGAGGGCGGAGGAGGAGGAGGAGGAGGAGGAGGAGGAAGAGGGCGGAGAAGGATGAGGAGCAGGAGGAGGAGAAGGAGGGAGGAGGAGGAGGAGGAGGAGGAAAAGAGGAGGCCGGACGGAGGACGAGGTGGAATGGGCCCTCCCCCGCAGGGGTCGGCGGCACGCGCGCGCCCCGGGACGCCTGGCAGAAGGGGGGCGCCCTCGGATCCCCCCCCCGCCCCCCCTCCACCCAAGAGGCGAGCGCAGCTCGCTGAGGCCAACGAGGCCATCCTGGACGTGGAGGCGGAGGGGATGAAGGTGAACGAGGCCAAGGTCACACCGCGCCGTCGGTCTCCTTCACATCCCCTCGTTGGCCCAGAGAGGCCAACGAGGCCAGCGAGGGGATGCAGGTGGCTCGAGTGGCACGTGGCGCGATTGTCATGCCGCCCTCCTGGGGTCCCTCTGAGGGCCCTCTTAGGGCCATCTTGGGCGTCTTTCGTTTGCGAGAGGCTCCCAAAGTCGTTCCAAAAACGGCCCCAAGAGACCCCACAAGACGTTTGAGCGAGGCCAGGCTCGAGGCCCGCCGCCGCTGCCGAGCGCGAGGGCTGCTCGGCACTTGGACTTCAGGTTGTCGAGCGAAACCGCGTCGCGCAGCTTCAGCTCGTCCCCAGACAGCTCGATGCACTCCACCTTCTGCACCGCCTTCATTCCCTCGTCGGCCACCGAGGCCAACGAGGGGGTGCCAACGAGGGGGTGAAGGCGATCGAGGCCAAGCTCGAGGCCCACCCCCGCCTCCCTCCCCCTTCCTCCTCGAGCGCCTACCGCGGGTGGCTGCGGCTCGCCACGGGCACTGGCCGGCAGCCTGGCTCAGCGCACCTCTTCCCGTATTTCTGTTCCCTCCTCCCCTTCCTCCGTTTCCTCCTCCTCATCCTCCTCCTCCTCCTCCGCCTCCTCTTCCTCCTCCTCCTCCTCCTGCTCCTCCTCCTCCCCTCCTCCTCCTCTCCCTCTCCCTCCTCCTCCTCCTCCTCCTCCTCCTCCTCCTCCTCCTCCTCCTCCTCCTCCTCCTCCTCCTCCTCCTCCTCCTGTCCTGATTTGTCACCAGGACCTTGGAATGTGGTAACACGGTTCGCGCGGGTTCTCTGGCCAGGCCCAGTTCAGGGGCGTAGGCAACCTTGTGGCGTCCGCATTTGATCACCAGGACTAGGCGCTAGCATCTTGACCGGATCTCTGGCGATCCTTCTCCCAAGTGTTGAGTTGCAAGCCTTTCAAGAAACATGACGCGATGGGGAAAATCTTAGAAGTCATCTTCCTCCTCCTCATCATCCGCCTCTTCCTCCTCCTCCTCCTCTTCCTCCTCCTCCTCCTCCTCCTCCTCTCCCCTCCCTCCTCCTCCTCCTCCTCCTCCTCTTCCTCCTCCTCCTCGGTAGTCACGTTTGCTCGAGCGATGTACCCCGTGCCCTGGGGCCTGTCCGCAGCCAAGGGGCTGGCTGAATGCTCGCCGCCTCTGGAGGCCCTCTTGAGAGACGCCCTGGGGCCGCGCAGAGGCGCCTCGGGAGCCTACTAGGCCGTCTTCCTCCTCCTCCTCCTCCTCCTCCTCCTACTCTTCCTCCTCCTCCTCCTCCTCCCCCTCCTCCTCCTCCGTTGGGGCTCTCTCGGACAGCCTCTTGGACAGCCCTCTTGGGCATCCTCTTGAGCCTCAGCGGTGGTCCGGGCCCCGTGCCGCCTCCAGGGCGCCCCGTGCTCTGAGCTCACACGACACGGGTTTCACGACTTGTTGCCTGCATCGCAGTGCTTACACTCAGGAGGGAAAGAAACACACAGACACAATTAATCGTCGACTCCCAGGAAAATATGCAAAAATATGGGAAGTGGGGGGGAAGACACACACCAAAAAAAAATATGGGAAAAATATGGGGAATATTTTTATTTGTGTGTATTTATTTGTGTGTCCCAGGGCCCCTTCATACACTCCGTGCAGTTCACCTCCAGCTCACGCCGCTCAGCTTACACCATATAGCTTACACCGCATAGCTTACACCGCACACCAGAGCAGCATAGGATGCGGGCAGTGTTGAAGATGAAGAGGGGTCGCCACGTTGGGTCGTCTTGAGGTCGGCGGGGTTGGCGCGACGCCCGTCGGGGGTGGGGGGGGCTGCTTAACAATAGCAATTATTTTCATACCGGCAGGGAAATTTACACTGCGACTAGGCTTTCCTGCAAAGTTGCTTCCCGCAGAAATTCGCTTCGAGACGTGGATGATTTTCGTTTCGCGGGGCGCACGTACGTTCGGAGCTTGTGAACTCTGGGCTTTGCGGACGCCTTGCATGGCCCTGGCATCGTTCGGACGTGTGCATTTTTCCTTCGGCGAGGACCATCGAGGAGCATCCTTGATCATTCGGCGAAAAAACCACGCACGAAACCAAAAAGAAAACACAGGGAATGGACGTCCGAGCGATGGCAGGTGGCAGGAGGAGGCGATTGTTTGGGGATATCCCACACCTGCCGCGGGACTTCCTGGAGGCCTCGGGCGGACCTCTCGGGCCTTGTGGGAGCCTCCTGAGGCCTCCTGGGGGCCTCTTGGGGGCACACAGTCGAGGCGCTGAAGAAGGAACCCTTTTCGTTGGGGAGGGGCTCGGTGTTCCGTGATTGTTTCACAGCTTGCCGTAGGTTCACCTGAGGTTTTCCATCGGAAATCGAAGTTTAACTTTTGGGAAAAAAGAGACCTCGTTCCTTATTTAGGGTTCCTTAGGGCAACGCCCCGACTGTATTGGGAGTCCTGGAGGCCGTCTTGGGAGGGAGGGCCCCCCGTGCACCTTCGACTTCCACATCCGAGGCCCATGTTGGTTTTTTGTTGGAACAGCTTCGGGCAGCTTGGGGTCCCTCTCGGACCGTCTTGGAGCATGGAGAAGGCAATCTTGAGCCATGTTCGGCCCCGAGAGCGATTGGCGCCCAGTGTTGCAGCCCCGACGGGGGGCGGATCACTTTCGTGCTGTGGATGTTGCGTGGCGCTCGGAGGGAGGCTTAAGGGCGCGACGTACAATGGCAAGTAGTGGTACACATATGTAATGTATGCGAACGTGCGTAGAAATGTACAAACCACACATGTGCATACATACGCGTCTGTGTGTATCGAGGAGGAGGAGGAGGAGGCCTCGGAGGAGGAGGCCTCGGAGGAGGAGAAGGAAGAGGAGGACAAGGAAGAGATGGATGAGGAGGCCTCTTGGGAGCCTCTTGGGCACTCTCGGGGTCTCCTGGGAGCTTCTCGGGGGCCTCTTCCTCTTGAGGGTCTCCTGGGGCATCTTGTGAACCTTTTGGGGCTTCTCGGGGGCCTGTTTGGCCGTCTTAGGGCGTGCCTCGCCTGTCTAGCGCCGTCGGAAGCCGTCTTGGGGGCCTCTCTGGGCCGTCTTGGGACCCTCTTGGAACGCCTCAGGGCTGTATTGGAGGCCATCTTAGGCGTCTTGGACGCCTCTTGGGCCGTCGTAGAGCCCTCTGGAGGCAGTCTCGGGGACTCTTGGGCCGTCATGAAGCCGTCTTGGAAGCCATAAGGGCCAGCTTGAGACGTTCTCGGGGCCTCTTGGGCAGTCTGGGGCCGTCTGAAAGCAGAGAAGAAGCAAATGCCAAAACAACCTTGAAAAACAGATGGGAGTTCAATGAAGTTTGCCTCTTCGGGCCCTCCTGGAGGACCTCAGGGAGGCCTCTTGGGCTGTCTTGTAGGCCTCTGGGGGGCCTCTTGTGCCGTCTTGGCCTTGGAGGCTTTTCGGGGCGCCTCTTGGGGGTTCTTGGAAACCATCTTGGACCTTCTTGGGCGAACTTGGAAGCCATCTTGCCCTCTTGGAGGCCAAATGGAGCCGTCTTGGAGGATTGTTTCCGGACGTTGAGGTCGTTTGTGCGGCCTTTGTGGTCGTTTATGGTCCCTTCCATGGGGCTGGCGGGACGCGCCGGAGCACCAGGGGAGAGTTCTCTTGGAGGAAGGACCAAAACCAAAACCGAAAGGATCGAGCACGCCAGGCACCCCTGTGATAAATCAACAGGGGGCGGGGATCGAAGACGCCTACGGCGAATCACCGCCGCCCCCTGCCCTTTCGGAAGCGCCGATGCGGCCGACTGCTGTGGCCAGAGGTCTGCCAAGTTATTGGGCCATATGTTCCCCGAATCGGTCTTTACAGCCTTCGGGGAACACGTGGGGGAGGACGGGGAGGAGAGGAGAGATAGGAAGGGGGGGAATGGAGGAGGAGGTCTCTTGAGTGCCTTTTTGGCTACTCTGGGTTTATATTGGGCCACATGTGCGGTCTTGGAAGCATCTTGGGGGCCTCTTTGGATGCCTTGCGGCCTTCCTGGAGGGCGTCTTGGAGGGCTCTTGGGCCGTCTTGAAGGCCGTTTGCCGGCCTTTTGGGCCGTCTTAGACCATCTTGAGGCCATCTTGGACCGTCTTGGGTGCATCTTGGAGCCATCTTACCCGTCTTGGAGGCCATCTTGGCCGTCTTGGAGGCATCTTGGAGGCCATCTTGGGCCATCTTGGCCGTCTTGGAGGCCATCTTGGGCGTCTTGGAGGCCTCTTGGGCCGTCTTGAGGCCCTCTTGGGGCCTTCTTGGGGGCCTCTTGGGCCGTCATGGGGCCATCTTGGAGGCCTCTTGGGTGCTGTTGGGGCGATGTTGGGGACCTCTTGGGCCGTCTTGGGCCGTCGGAGAGCTGAAAAGAAGAACATGCCAAAATCCTTGAAAAACCTAAGGAAAATCAATGATTTTAACCTATTCGGGCCTTCCTGGAGGGCGTCTTGGAGGGCTCTTGGGCCGTCTTGGAGGCCTTTTGCGGGCCTTTTGGGCCGTCTTAGACCATCTTGAGGCCATCTTGGGCCGTCTTGGGTGCATCTTGGAGCCATCTTACCCGTCTTGGAGGCCATCTTGGCCGTCTTGGAAGCATCTTGGAGGCCATCTTGGGCCATCTTGGCCGTCTTGGAGGCCATCTTGGGCCAAGTTGGGGCAACAAAGGCATTGACAGATGGATTTTCGGAAACTTGCGGGTGGCCGGCGGGACGGGCCGAAGCCCACTGGGGAGTTCTTTTAGAAAAAGAACCAAAACCAAAACCTGAAACATCCAGCACGCCGTGCACCCCTGTGGCAAGACCACAGGGGGCGGCGGATCGAAGACGCCTACGGCGAATCACCGCCGCCCCCTGCCTTTTTGGAAGCGCCTATGTGGCCGAACGTTGAGGCCAGACCTGCCAAGCTATCGGACCACGTGTTCCCCGAATCGGTTTGGAAAGCCTTCGGGGAACACGTGGGCATCTTGAAGGTCATCTTGGCCGTCTTGGAGGCCTCTTGGGCAAGCTTTGG